ATTAAAAAAAAAAAAAAGTAAAAACAAAACAACAAAAAAAAATCAGACATCTAACAAAGTACACCAAAGGACAAGTAAAGGTAAAATTGCTCTTGGAAAGGGCTCAAAATAGCAAAATTCAACTGCAGCATTCAAGACCCAATTTAATTTCTTTTTTCTCTTAAGTGGTTAAACAGGGACCAAGACCTGCACATTCCATGCTCTCTCGGGTACAGAGGCACAACGAAGGGCTGCACAGAGAAATTCAAAAGTAAACTGGCTTAGCTCTTTATACAGAAGAACTGATCTACAAAAACCTGTTGCATGCAGCAGCACCAACAGCATCATTGGCACAAAGCCAATCTCCGAGGAACTGAGAAAGAAGATATACCCTTTTTAAAAAGACGGGTGGGGGGAGCCACAAGAAGGACTGGTGCCACAGCAAATGTCTATCTGGGTGTCTCAACATTGTCTTAAGTGAGTTAAGGAAGGTTTCTTCCTCAGAAGTGTGCCTTCCTTTGCTTAAGTCTAAGTCTTTACTGCTACAAGATGAAAAGAAATATCCCTGGTTGGGTATGGGGAGTTTGGAGTATGTGAAAGTGTGTGATTTCAATAAACCTTTACAAGTATTGAGTACTTAAGTGAATAAACTTAACTGGAACCTGTTGACCAGAAGGCTGGTGGTTCAAACCCACCAGCCACTCCTCGGAAGGAAGACTGGGCGATCTACTTCCATAGTGATACCACCTTGGAAACCCAAGGAGCAGTCGCTACAAGCCAGATGGACTAAACAGCAGTGAGTTTGGTTTTTTTTTTTGGGAGGGGAACCTGTTGGGGGAGGAGGCTTTTTAGTAGGATAAAGAAAGCAGGAAGGTTTTAGAGCATAGGGGAGGGTTTCCTCAAAGGGTACAAAGATGCAGGAGTTGGGGAGAGTGGGACCTGGAAGCACACTTTTTAACCTAAAAACGGCCCTAACCTCACCACAAAATGAGAATGATGTTCATCATCTTCATGATATCTTTCCATGAGGAAGTTTTTCAAGGTAAGACAATGGTATCAGTTGGGCACTCATATTTCAATTAGTTCAAATGACCAAATGCACTGGGAAAAAAAAAAAAAAATGAAAGCAGTACTCTGCCATCATAGTGGCCATCACGTCTGCTTTTCCAAAAACCATCTATATGTCTATAAACACAAATGCACTGCCATAGAGTCTGGTCTGACCCACAGTGACCCCTCCTTGGGTTTCTGAGGCAGTATCACTACGGAAGTAGATTGCCCAACCTTCCTTCTGAGGAGTGGCTGGTGGGTTTGAACTGCTAGCCTTCGGTTAGCAGTCAAATGCCTTAGGCACTATACCACCAGAGCTCCTTATATGGATTTTTAAAATGTGACTATCACTTTTCAGCGTCTGTTGACTCCACGACTTTGTAGTCTCAACTGCAACCAGTCAGATAACTCTGGTTCTACATTAGACAGAAGCAAAAGAATGATGATCTTTCCATTAATACCTGAATCTACACCGAATATTGCCTACATCTAAAATCAATATATGCACAGGATGCCCGAGATCTCGAAACAGTTCAAACATCCATAAACAGCACTGTTTTTAATCTGTTGCCTACAACATACCAATGAGAAAAATCATGGTATCGTGTCATAAACTGCTATGCAAATGATGCTATTTGTAAGTATTAACATAATTTAGTGCTTACAGTCATATTCTCATTTCTAATAATTCTCTCTAAATGGAGTCTTTTTCTGGACTCTTAGCCTGCAGGATAGTCTTTCATCAAGAAGCTGAAATTTTTAATAACCTGCCAGCATATGTTTTGTATGTGCCAGGGTAGGCTTGATGATACAACGTCTTCATTATCAAAAGAAACAGGTCTACCAACTGTAATAGGACGTTAAAACATGCCTGTGCTCATAAAGTAATGCTTTGATGTCTAAATGTGCTCCATTACGATGGTCTACTGGAACAAAAGAAAATTCTAATCTTAAATTCTCAATAGCTACACTCAATGGGGATTGCAGTTCACTTCCACTCTGAATACAATTTAACTATGAAGGCAAAAGGATGTCAGTAAGTCTTCTACCAAAAAGAAAAAAAAAAAAAAAAGCTTTCAGAACTGCTTTATTTTTTATTTTTATTTTTGGCTTCTTACCTCACCAAGCCTAAGCACAAGCCCCAAGAGTGTAAAAAGATTCCTGAATAATTATTTTTCCCTCAATTAGTTTTAAAAATGATTTAGATGGATTATTAATTATTTAAGTTTCACATTTATAAACATTAACAATAATGGCAAATGTATGTGGTGACTAAAATGATATATAGTTTATAGTAACTGAAATTAAATAACAGACAGACTTCTAAGTACAACTCAGCCAAATGTCAGTATTTCATTAAAAAAAAACCCTTAAAGTCAAAAGTTTCATATTTGTCATAATCTAGTATCAGGAGAATCCTTTAAAAATTATTGGTTTGAAATACTGACAGCAGTAAGTGCTTTTCACAGTAATATTTTAATTATTTCAAAGTAAAAAATTATACTTTTAAAATCTCAACAGTTTCACTTTAAAAAGAAAATTCTGTGCAATAGAAAATGATTTAAATCCAGTTCAAAGAGAGCACAAGGGAAACCTCTATGGGTTTCAAAATTAAATACATTTTCCTTGTTTTATTATTGTTTTTTTTTTTCCTACAAGAGTAATTCACTTTGGTATCCTTTAAATAATATGTAAAAAGCTGGTAGTGACAGGTAACTGCATTTAGTCCATTCACTGACAGAAGGGAAAAAAGGCCCAGAATAGATCATGGGGAGAGCAGTAACATTTGTCAAAGGGAACTCTCTCTTCTGACTGTTCTCTAGATTTATTCATCATTTCACTTTCACAAGAATAATGTGGTTCCCTCTAGTGTGCCTCTCCCTTTCTATCACTTGTGTCTTGATTCATATACCTCTGTAGTGGGATGCTCAAAGCAGATGTAAATCACTTTGCATATAGCCCACTGCTATGTATTCTAGTGGAGAAGGAATCAGTAAGGGAATTTGCATCTAAATTTTCTTAATCAGTTCTGCTTTGACCCCTAAGTTAGCCAAAACAGATATTTGGGATTAAGAGAAGCCAGATAAGTCTAGGTCTCTGGATATAAACTGAGACAGCTTTTAGAATGATAGGTTTAAAGATTATGTTCAACCATGTAAAATTATTTTAATATTTAAGTCAATTTGGAATGGACTGAGAAGCTGTACAATTCATCCTCCCACCAATGTATACGGAAAAATCTACACACATATGCTCACGTGCTAAGACTTCCTACCTATTGCTTGGCTTTTGTTAAGATATTTTTCTGGCTGTGATGTACAATTTTCTCAGCATCTCATGGGGACCCAGCAGTTGCATAAATTTCCTTGAGTTATTTTCAAAAACATATGAATGCTGACAGAATGCTATTATAAATTAGCTATTAGGTGACAACTATTCACTAATAGAATTTCTCTCTCATAATAAAACACAGCTAGTTTAGTGGTAGCATAGTGGCTAAGACACTTGCCTGCTAACCAGATGGCTGGCGGTTCAAACCCACCAGCCACTCCTCGGAAGGAAGGTTGGGCAATCCTACTTCCGTAGTGATACTGCCTCGGAAACCCAAGGAGGGGTCGCTATGAGTCAGGGCTGACTCGACAGCACATAACAACAACAACAACAACAAGTTTAGTAACAACAGGTTTTAGGAATATATGATCAGACACACTTGAGCAAATAAGGAAATCTGAATCTGACCTGAATGGTTAAAAAAAAAAATCCTAATTAGCATAATCAATCTCAAGATATGAATGAAGAGTTTTAGGGCCCAAGGGATGGACATTTAAAATATTCTAATCAATCCCATTCCTCTTGTTTTTAAAAATCTAATGCCCAAGAGAGGTAAAATGACTTCCTAAGGCCTCAGTGCTGATAGGTGACAGAGCTGGGTCTAGAAGAAAGTACTTTCATCTCCCAGCTGAGCCTTTTTTCCATTTCCTGTTTACAGACACTGTGGGTTTACGCGAACACTGAACACTCACCTGTGCCCATTTCTTGCTCCAATCTTCTCGGCTGTATTTCCTATTCTCCTTTAGGGCCCACTTGTAGCACTTTAGGTGACAGGGAATGTCACAAAATGCAGTTCCATTTCCTCCAGACTCATCATCTATTTTGAAGAGCCAGCGCTGGATTTCCAGGTGATCGGTGACCAGCTGACTCAGCTGTTCTATCATCTATGGGGCCAAAGACATAGTAACATTTAATATAGCTAGTTTGCTGGGGTTCCCTTTTATTGGATTTACTTAGTTGTACTTCTCATATGTCTTTACTTTAAATTATCTGTTCCTTTAGTTATCTTCTTGTAATTAAGACAGATTGGGAGAGGTTTTAAGGGATGTACATATGATGTGAAGAAACCATTAACCAATAGGACCAATGACATGTTTAAAAGTACAGGCTTATTTATAAGAAATTCTGAAATTACTCTCTTGCTGGCTTGTGAAAGCAAAATAAAGAATTCTTGAATATCTGTAATTGAATCTTGGTATTGTTTTCTTTTTCAGAGAGAGAATTATGTGTTTACTTATTGATTGCTCAAGTGATTTTTTTATAGTTTCAAGGCTATAAAGAATTATAGTCTTGAAAACTTTAACTGTTTGAAGCTTTGTTGAGCTTTTAAATGTTATAATCTATAACACATTTCATTTTTTCCTCATTAATATACATGAAGTACATTGTTTGGCTGGTCAATTGGCCATTTGTGATGAAGTGTATCATATGAACCAGACAGATAAAGGAGATAAAACATTCATGGGAGCAGCTTCCCTGGAATACACACCTACCATACATTTTATTTTAAAGAGTATTCTCTCAAGAATTGGACTTAAAGGCACAAAAATTTAAGGGAGAGAAGCTCAAGCTCTAATATCAAAATGATAAAAGTAACACTAATAAACCAAACCAAACCGAACTCTAACATTACTGGACACTCACTAGGAGCCAGGCCCTTGGCCAAGCTCTTTAGTTATTTACATAAAATTTTCTCTTTAATTCTCACAACAACTTATGAGATATTGTTGTCTGGTGCCATGGAGACAATTTCTAACTGAAAGCAACAACCTCATTTGATAGAGTAGAACTGCCTCATTGGATTTTCTTGGCTGTAATCTTTATGAAAGTAGATGGTCAGGTCTTTCTTCCACAGAGCCACTGGGTGGGTTCAAACTGCCAGCCCTTCAGTTAGCAGCCAAGTGCTTGTGACACCAGGGCTCCTAAACCTATGAGATGGGCACTATTATTAGTCCCATTTTACATATCAATAATCACACAGCACTGAGTAACAGAGCTGGGACTCAACCAGATTGCTCAGCTTCTAAAATCTATGCTTATACCCTCTCTTAACCTGAAGAGGTGAAGAAGAGTGAGCTGGAGAAACTAAATGGGGAGAGGAGCAAAAGCAACATTCCTTAAATCAATAATCATTTGTGGTGAGTTTGAATTACATAATACAGTATTTTTTGCATATAATGCATCCATATAAGTGAAGCACACACCCACGCATAAAGCATACAATGCATGGGAAACTAACATGAGGGGGTTGTGTGATTTGCAAAAACCACATAATGGTGCATTGCTTGCATAAAAATACTGTAGTCTATAGCAAGATTGTTGTTATGTGCCATCAAGTCGGACCACTCATAGTCCTCTCCTTGGGTTTCCGAGGCAGTATCACTATGGAAGTAGATTGCCCAACCTTCCTTCCGAGGAGTGGCTGGTGGGTATGAACCACCAGCCTTCTGGTTAGCAGTCAAGTGCCTTAGGCACTACACCACTTATTTAATTATAATTAATACTGTCCTTACAGAGCCTTAAGGAGCACTGGTGGGGTAGTACATAAGGCATTTGACTGCTAACCAGAAGTCTGGCAGTTCAAACCCACAAGCCACTTCTCAGAGGGAAGGTTGGGCAGTCTACTTCTGTAGTGATACCGCCTCAGAAACCCAAGAAGGGGTCGCTATGAGTCAGATCCGACTCCATGTCAGTGCTTTTGCTACGTTTATAGAGTCTTGAAGAAAAGTAACCCATTAGATTACCAAATTACATTTTTTCCTGTCTTCTCATCACACTTTCCAGTCTATAATTCCCAGAAAGTAACAATATAAATATTAAGCATTCTCTCTCTTAAGCTTGCCACATGCTATTCTTGGCTATGGTCTCCTGTACTTAAGGAGGTCCCTGCAACACTCTCATTTTCTTATCTTTTGAGTCTTCTTTGCCCACCAAATGAATTATTATTATTTTTAACTAAAGAGTGTGAAAAAAGGATTCAGATTTATAGTTCTGCTGAAGTCTACAGCTGTAAGATTAAAATCATTTTGATTAAAGGCAAAATCAGTTTTCTTGAGTTGTGTCCGTCTAACAAATCTTCCTGGGGTTATTATACTACATGGCATTGTGGAAATAACTCAAAATGGCTACACTTGAGATCCCTGGGAGCCCTCATGCAACTATGTGGTTTTCATTAGGTGACGACAGAATTGTCTTAGTTCCCTAATCATTTAGTAGTATCTGTGGAGAATTTCATTGTTTAACTGGTAAATACTCTGGTCTACACACCATATGACCATGAACACACAGCCTAATAAGGTTTTTAATGTGTCTTTTGAAGTTGTTATTACTTCTTTTTCTGATGCTGTTGTATTACAGAGATACAGATTCTACATTCAACCTTATTTTGCTGCATTATGATCATATGTCATAGAAGTAGAAATAGTCTGGCCTTGATAATACCTGATAAAATTCTTTTGCTAGAATATAAGGAAAGGTATTCTGGTATTGCCTCTGTTATAGTCCATATTGCATATTTGGAAGTTTAAACTACTAACAGAATTATTATCTGTTTCTTCCAAATCCTACTATTTGTTGCTTCTGAGAATCCTATAAATGGGCTTCTGTTGATGGATCCCCTACAGTAATGAAAAGGATCAATAGTATTGTAAAGACTGCACCACTGGAAAGAATTATGTGCTATCTTTAAGTGAAAATTGAACAGTGCTTTAAAATAGCATCACCATTTTTTGATTATTTAACCAAAGCTGTCAATATTTCATATGGAGCACATGCCAGAAAGACAAGCTGCCCAGTTACTTTATGATCAAACCAGGAATTGCTCACTGTGCTCATGCTGGATTCTTAAGAAAATAAATAAATTACTTAACCATAAATCAAGTGACTTTATGCTATTTCCAAACATTTATCATCTTCTGTTTCAGTCTATCTGTTCAAAAGATGTGATACATTGTTTCAGTTGCCACTTATTTTATACTGGTAAAGAACAGAAGTGGAAAAATGACTACTGCTAAAACCTGACCAATAGTCCAGAGTATTTATTAACCTAAGTTAAAATAATCACAACTTGCTTTCACTGGCTTTAAGTTTATGATGCACAGCGGTAAAAAGTCAGTGTTATTGACTCATCACCATCTGCAAATTCAAAATGCTGATACCCTCAGATGGATTAGATAGGCTAGTCACTGCCCAGAAAAATCTCAATAGAGTAAGTTTTGATGACCTAGGATGTACGTTTTCCAAATAAGTAGAGTGGAACTCAGTTATACCTTGGTTCATTGTCATACCAATTAGCACATACCATAGGCCAAATTACATCTCTCAAATTGATTTGTCTATGAGGAGGTTTTTAATCCTACTTCTGAATACCAGCATTATAGGGAGGCTGTACTGCATTACATATGCCTTTATCTTTAACCACAATTAACATATAAAGTTCTAAAATACTTCAGAGTAAAGACTGCCTGAGTTCTCATCAGTGAAGATGAAAGCAAGACTCAATACAAATATTGCAATACATTAAAAAACTTTGAAGACTGTTCAATATAATGTGCACATATGGAATTATAACATTTAAGAATGTATTTCATTTTAGTTACGTTAAGTCTACTAGCCAAGTATTCTACTGGGAAGCAAAGTCAAGGAATCCATTTAGTTATCTTCAGATTCCAATTGGAGACTAATGACCGGAAGTGAAGCACCAATTAAAGGAGGGCATCTCTATGCCACTTGTAGAGCTTCCTTGTACTTTTCCCAGACTTGGCTATGTCTTCAAGAACAACTTCTTTCATAAGCCCATGGGTTGCCATAAAATACTCTGGCAAGACTGAAAGATTAGGGAAATTTAATAAGCTAACTGTATCTTCAAACTGTTGTTGTTGTTATGTGCCATCGAGTCGTGTCTAACAAGTGTAATTTCCTGAAAGGCTGGGTTGTTGGGTCAGTGGCTGTGAGCTGCAGAGCATCATGATCAGACTACTAAGAGTAGAAGAGGGGTCTCCAAATATTGTCGCTCACAGACTCATTGTGCCTGGTCCTTTGGTTACCCAAGTAGTAGGTGGTTGGGATAATTTGTGACTGGCTCAGAGAAATGGTCAAGAGAGGTCCCGAAACAGAGATTAGGAAATGCTAATAGTCATTTGTCTTTTTCTTTCCTTTATTATGAAAACAGATGGCAGTTAAATGAGAGAACACCTGCCAGGCCTAATTCAAAGGAAAAAAATTCTAGTGGCTAATGTTATATTTCTCCAAATATTCTGGGCCCTAACTATCTGTTGGAAGAATGCATGTTGTTGTTGTTATGTGCCGTCGAGTTGGACCTGACTCATAGCAAACCCTCCTTGGGTTCTGAGGCAGTATCACTATGGAAGTAGATTGCCCCAACCTTCTTTCCGAGGAGTGGCTGGTGGGTTTGAACCACCAGCCTTCTGGTTAACATTCAAGTGCCTTAGGCACTAGGCTACCAGAGCTCCTGGAAGAATGCATAGCCAAGGTAAAACCTGGAAGCAGTTTTATTCCTGGAGCCAGTCACTTACCCTTTCTGAGCTCTATCCACCCCCTCCATTTAGGGCCCCTTCCTGGGAGCCCAGGAATTTTTTTTTTTTTTTTTTTTAACAGAGCCAAAGATGTCTGAAGCCCTCTGCCTGGCAGAGAAACTCATTCCCTGGAACATCCCAAACCAGTTCCTTTTAGTTAAAACTAACATTCATATTTCTTAGGGTCCTACTAACTGACTGCCTAACTGATACGATGATGAACAGATCCATGTTAAGGCATTAAATACTGATAGTAGATTAGTACATTAATCCAAATAAATATACATTTTAACAGGATCTTCAATGTCTTAATCCAAATGAGTAAACATTTTGGGAAATGTTTGCAAGGC